TCTCAGATCCTCTCTGGCTGTTCATTAGAGGCTTCAGTTCCTCACCACATGGGCATCTCCATGATTTGTGTCCTCAGGATATGGCAGATGGCTTCCTCCAGAGGAAGAGGGGAGAGGGAGAGAGAGAGAAACACCAAGATTAAAGCCTCAGTTTCTTTAGAACTTAATCTCGGAAGTGACATATCATCACTTCTGCTATATTCTATTGGTCACACAAACCAGCGCTGAGATGCTGTAGGAAGGGGGTGACTACCAGGAGGCAGGGATCGCTGGGGGCCATTTGAGAGGCTGGCAACCACAAGGACTATTTTTAATAGTTAGAAACTAGGAACTATCCAAATATTTATCGACAGTAGACAGGATAAATAAATGCTGGTGTATTTATACAATGGAATTCTATACAGCAATGAGAGTGAACCATTTATAATTACATGCAACGATACAGATGTACCTTGCAAACACAATATTTCATAAAAGCAGCCAGGCACAAAGAATACATACCATATGATTCCATTTATATAAAGTTAAAAAAAAAAAAAAAAACAGGCAAAACAAGTCTATGTGTTAGAGGTGAGGATAGTGGTTCCCCCCAAAAAGATAGCTACTGAAAGTGGATTCAAGGAGGGTTTTGGAGGCCAGCAATATTTGATTTCCTCATCTGTGTGTTAGATTTACAGGTTTGTCAAATTTTTTGAGCTCTACACTTTTCTCTCTACATATTATACTTTTAAAAGAAAATTTCAAATGTAGGGGCTAGAATACCTTTATCATCTCCTTTTTCTATAGAGATATCCTGGAAATGATATCGGTTATGACTAGGCATAAATCTGGGATAACTATAATATCTGGTCAGCACACTGGCGCTGGCTCTAGGTCTCACTTGCTTTGAGACCTTGATTGAATAAGTCACTTACCCTTTCTGAACTACAGTTTGCTTCTCTGCAGAGCTGTGGACTCTTGCACTTCTAGCCTCAAAATGTGGTGGAGAATATCGGGTGACGTCAGGTACATCTGAGTAGCATTGTAACCAAGATTATGTACTAAAGTCAGAGAATAATGTAAAAATCAAATAACAAATTACCCTTGAAATTCCTTAGATAAGCCTTGTATCATTGGGATGACCTTGGAAGTTCAAAAGCCAGGGACCAGGAATTTACTTCTTTTGTTTCTCTTTAAATTTCTGCCCTGGTCTTCCTTTCTGTGGAGTGGCCTGGAACAAGATTGGCTTGAATGGCAGTGGGAGGGGGGAGGGGGGGGTGGGGTGGGGGAGGGTAAAGAGGAAGGATTTCTCACTCTCCTGATCTTTTTTGTTGTCCTTGAGGGCATCTAATGGAATTTCCACATTGTATATACTTTTACAATGACTCCAGTGTATGTGAAAGCACTGAAAATTTTAACAATATTAAGGAAATGTAAGTTATGACTCATCTGTGGAACAGGTGCTTTACCCAGATTATCTTGGGTCTAGAAAGCCTTGTGGATAATGTCAAGGTTAAAACAAGTGACTGATTAAAGTCATTTAAGTAAATCAGAGGGGTGCCTGATGCTAAATGGCATGTAGGGACAATGAGTAGAGAAAGAAGCTGAAGTCAACATTAGACATAATAAATAGCAATTTTGTAATTATGTAGTACTTCATAATTTACAAAATCATTTCTTAAAAGTTAACCTTATTTTAAAGATGAGGCTTAACTTCTCAAGATCACCTGCCTAGTTTAACAGGAGAGCTGGGATTCATAACCAGATTTTCCAAGTTCAAAACCACAGTACTTTCCAGGAGACCAGTATCTCTCTGTCTCTCTGTCTCTCTGTCTCTCTTAGGTGGGGGGTGGTACAAATTGCTAAGTTCGAGGATTTGTGACCTGGCTCTCATGGGCTTATCCTCTTGTCACTTGTACAATCTACCTGAGCTTGACCACCTTCTCTAGGCAAGACTCCCTAGGTTAACTAAGACAGTGAGGTGGGAAGAGCAGATTACCTGGATGGCTGTGGTTCTCACCTGGACAGAGACCTGCTGCACAGGATGAAGTTTAAAGTTGTTCCTGTGCATTCTGGGATGTGTGGAGTTTAGAAAAACTCCTGCTGGGATACAATAGTTTCTGATGCTCCAGGATGGGGCCAGGTTATCTTTTTAATACATATATGCTTGCATCGTACTTATGCATGCATTAAACATCTGCTTATTGCTGTATAATAAAACCATTTGTAAAGACAACTCTTGCCCAGTAAAGACTTGTGTTAAGAGATAATTGCAGTATCATAATTCAAGTCTGGGTTTGGCTAGGACTATCTTCATGCATAGGACAATCTCTTTGCAGGAGTGTGTGTATTTTAATGTGACTGAAGTCTCCCTGGACAGGGGAAGTCCTTCCCACACTTTTTAGGAGAACCCAGAAGTAGACACTGTGAAGTGGCTTAAGGAGGAGGGTAGGTGTGGACTCAGTGGGGCATCTCCTCTGAGTCCTCACATCCAGGAGAGACATTTCTGTCTCCAGATATGATCCCATGTCAGTCATTCAATTTAGGTCATTCCATGGTGTTTCTTTTGGGACTCAGGTAGCCGTATGAGGCCCCCTGGTGGCCTGAAATAATTTGCGAGTTTACTTTTCAGGCATTTCGAAGAGTAGGTATGGCTGGAGAAGTACAAGGGTAGTCAGTACTCACCTAGACCTGGTTTTACAGTAGAGGCAGGGCAGAGTAGGATGACCTATTTCGGGAGAGTTGAGAACTAAAGTGTTTTCTTTTAAGAGGTTAAAATAAAGGGACTATAATTCTGAATAAACTACTCATGTCCTGATTTTTCATTCTTCAGTTAATTTCACAAACTTATTGAGTACCTACTCTGTGCAAGACATTTTATTAGGCATCACAGGATAAAAAGAAATAAAGACGCATCATGAACTTGTAAGGAGCTTTGGAAGAGGATAAAACACTGATGCCACCAACATGGTAGAAAGCAAAAGGTACCATCAGAGCATAAAGAGCAGTTACTTTCAGATACAAGGGAAGGCCTTTAGGAAGAAGTTGCATTTAAGCTGGGGCTCTAATGAGAAGCAGGTTTTGGAAATACTGAGATGGAGAGAGAAAAGATGGAATTCTGGAGGAGAGAAAAACAGAAGAACGAAGAGACATGGAGGCAGGAAAACCGAAGCCTGATCCAGGAATGGTAAAGTCTGGTCTGGATAACTCATAAGGAGTTTTTGGGTTGGAGTGAGAGTAAAAGCTGGATACATCTGTTTGGATCAGACTGTGGAGAACCTTGAACACTTGCCTGAGAAATTTCTTCATCAATCAGTAAGGAGCTTTTGAATATCTTTGAATAGAAAAGAGTCAATTGAAAGCATAGACTCCCTCCTACAAAAATAAACACAATGCCATACTTGTATTTTGTCCAGAGGAGTGTTGATTTTCATGTACTTAAAATAATTGTGGGGTATTCTACTGTAATCAGTGACTCCAGATTTTTACAATCCTACCTTCAAAGCCAGGAGAAACGAGGCCATCAACGTATCTCCCCTTAACAAAACTACCTGAGCACGGGGAGCAGTCAGTGCCAGAGGTGTCTGCCATATTTAATTAAATTCCTTGATAGAATGCCTTTCATCGAAAGTGCTAGGCTAGGCTTTTTTGTTTGTTTGTTTTGCTTTGTTTTTCCAAGGTATAAAAAGGCTTCACACCTAACTACCTTCCTGCTCTAGATAAATGTGATCTAACCTGCATGGACCAGAAATATTTCTGGCTAGAGTTATGGGACAGAGTCCTAGCTGTGTGTGGAATAGCTTGGTGTCCACAGAATTGAAGCAATAATCTTATTTGCGTTGTATTAGAACTAACTCAGCAAAGCAGCCTGAGAATCTACACAGTGCCTGGCATATAGTTGGTGCTCAAAAATATGTTAAGCAAATAATGAATGGCTGATTCAATAACTGTGTAAAACACATTTTACAACTCAGTATACAATTCCTGACCTCAGGCACTGATTTCCTAATAGTAATGATAGAGAAATCTTTTAGAATATAGTAAACATAATTAACAATACTCTTTAGAAGTCATAAAAAAATCACATGATAAAAATTAAAATCTTCTAGTTCAGTTCGGAAGAAACAACATGCCCGTTTGAGAGAAATGTAATTGAGGACATTGCAGGTGAGGCACAGGAAGATGAGCAAAGCAGACCGCAATAAAAATAACTGCAACAGAGATACCCATTTCAGAAGTTTCAGCAGCAGTGAGTATGTATTATTCCAAAAAAAAAAAAAATGTACATTGACTTTTATATGAAAATCATCAAAAATGCTATATTGGATTCTTTTCATATTAATTTAATCCCCTCCCCATGTCATCTAGTAGCTATACCTTTTACCTTTTTTTTCACTTCTGACACATCATTATAATCACCTAAAATTATCCAATGTTAAAACATAAAAAATATTAGTTTATTCTTCAAGAAAAAGTACCACCAGTTAGGAGTTACTGAAAGTAAAAAATAAAACTGATGCCAGAGAACCAACTAATTGAAAAAAGAAATGACCATAGAATTTCATAGAAATACGCAAAGTCCAAGGCAATGTAGACTCTCGGCAGAACATTTTTATGATATAACTTCTTAGTCGTGTGGATTATTTCTTTTGGAGGCAGGTCACTGGTGTGCCAGAACTGTTTGATTATTTTCTCATTTTTTCTTGGCTACTTTCCAAGGTGAATCAAGTGTTTTCTAATGCAGCACACCTCCCATGACCCCTAAAATGTTTAATGTAGAGGAAAAAGCTGAATTTTCAGTCTTAGAAATAGCCCTTAGAGTTGTTTGTCATTAAAAAAGATACAAGTCATTCCTCACAGATGAGAACCCCCATCTACCCTCCGCCATCAATCCACCCCCGTTCCTCTAGTCTGCTCCAATGCCAAGTCTATTCTTTCCCACAACAGTTCTGGGTGAACTGGCTGACAGAGGGAGAGCTGGCTTTACAGGCCCCACATACCCCATTTGGTCTCATTTAGTCCTAAGCAAACAAGCTTCTCCGATTCACCACAAGAGCCGTCTGACTCTCCCGTCTCTTGGTTTTCTTGTTCCTCTGTCTCACCTTCCAGCACAAGGCGCTGGAGGCTAACAAAAAAAGTCCCAATGACAGAAGGACCAGGCCAAAGATGGAGATGATGGAGCCGTGGGAATTGAAGCTGTAAGCCACTGCAGTGACCACTATCCCAGCGATGAGGACCACCACCGCGAAGGGGATGATGCAGCGGTAGCAGGAGAGCTCAGCACCCCCAGTAGCAGCCATCAGCTGAATCTCAGTGACCATGGGGACCGTGGTGAACACAACTTCGCTCTTGGGGTTCTTTTCCATTGTCCCTGGCTTGGGAGACTTTGGGGTTCCAAGGATCTCTTTGACGGGCTCTTCAGTCATTCTTATAGTGCTGTTTCCTGGCTGAGTTCACAGACTAGACTTGGGGGGTTCTCATCAGGATGGAAGCTCTGGAGGAGAAGACAGGAGATATCAGTCAGTTTGATGCATCAGAGCGAGCCCCACAAGTACAGGTAAAAAGCTAAGGAAACACCACTGTGTTCTTTTCCAGGATGCACAAATGCAGGTGAAAATCAACCATGTAATCTTTTGCATTCTCCTTGCATCGGACAAAAAAACAAGATAAAGCAAATAACCATAAAGAAAGGGAAGAGATGAAAAGCGGGAAGCATTTTGCAGTTTTTAATATACCCTGGTGGTCTACAAATGTTTTACTAGACTTTCCACTTTGTCTATTGCTTTTCTTTCCTCCAAGCACAAAGAAAAGCCTCAATCTTCATCCAAAAATGACCTCAGGCAAGAGGAGACTACATTATCAACAATTCTATGCACAGTTCGTTCCTCAACTCATAGCAACTTAGACTCAGCCAATGTTTCCGGGCACGACATGCAATCTTTCCAAACTATCACCCATTCACTGCCCACCAAATCAATGTCAAGACCAGAAGCCAGCATATTAATGATGTTCTTCTACGTCAATTTGACAGTCAATAAGTCTCTACTTATTGTAATTATTAAACACAGTGTAATGTGTCTGGGACCACAGTGGGAACACAGTTCAGCAAAAATTCAGTGACAATTAGTCTAGGATTTGTGGATCTAAAATGTGGCAAATCCTCCAATCCATTTGAAAAGAATGGAAAGAGAAAAATTAAGAAAAAAATTTAACAACTTTGTAGGATATAATTGTATGCTTTTTACATTAAAGAAAGATAAGATCAACTAGTAATTTGCTGTCAATTCACACATTTTTTCTTAAACTCAACCAGTATTTTGATATTATGTGTACTATAACATGTTGAAAAAATAATCATGCTAGATTTTCAGTAAAGTTTTACAAGTTCATTTGTCCCCATGCCCTTGTGTTAAAAGATTTGTTGCAATGTACCTTTCTAAATATTTTGAACCTGAACATTCCTGGACAAAATCTGAGACTGCCCATCAAAAGCATCTGGTTGGAATGCTGTCTGTCTATGAGAAATCAGTGAAAATTTTTGTCTGTAACTCAGACATGTTAAGTCATTCACCTTTGTCCTGGAGAAGGAATCTAGCAGCTAAAGAGTTGAGCAACTGTAGTTACTGGAAGAGTTTAAAGGAAGATACTTAAGGCTATTTCAATGAGATTAATACTTTGAACATAATAAGCATCCACTGAAAACAAATTCAGCCCAAATCAAACCTCACAAGTTCTCTCCTGCCCTGGGAGGTCGAAATATCACTCCGGGTTCAATGAAGTCACATATTAGAGCTGCCTATTTGCATGTAATTTCTAGGCACCAAATTAATCACTGCTGTCCAGTGATACCCTAAATACTGGGTAAGCCAGTAAAAGGATATTTGAGATTATGTCTGAAAGGAAAAATCTTCACCCCAAAGCTGAGACTTCATCTGAACGTGAACTTCTATCCCCAAACTACTTACGTACCTCACAGAGAAGCAATCCATTACCAGGGAAACCACGCGGCTTGGAAGGGAAGAAACTGCAGAGTTTCAGCTTCCACTGGTCAGCTTCTGGGAAAAGAGCCTGTAACAGCACGTCTGTCAATAAAATGACAGGACAGGAATCTTCTCTGGGGAAAAGAAAAGATACAAAAATG